AAAAGACTTCCGTAGACAACGTGACAACTTAAGTGGTGTCTCGCTGATTGGCTTCCAGGTAATGTGTCCCCGGGCTCTGACACCCAGACCCACCGCAACCCATCTGACTCCGCGTCCCATGGACCACAAGGCTACGGACAGTCCCGTTACCCTTGTTGAGATATCTCAGAATGAGAGAGCTATGGAACAATTCGTCCAGTACTGCATTAAATCATCATTCATTAACGAACTTCTTTTTTGGCTCAACGTGGAATATTCCATGAAGATAGATCCCATGTCAAGGAGCTTTCAGTTTAGAAACGTTAACATATTAACTAAATATCTTGATACGAACACTGAGTACCATGTCCAAATCCCCTCGAAAGCTCTTCCCAAAGCATTCTTCAAACAGTTGGATCGCAAGAAGGAGATTTCTAAGGAAGTTCTGGCATCAGCGCACGATTACGTTGAGAAATACATAGACGAACAGGTTGTCCCACTTTTCGTGAAGAGTAAGTACGCGGATTTGCTTCGAGACAAACCTCCTTTTCTTAAGCAGAGCGTTTGCGTTAATCTGCGTATCAGCGGCTTCAAAAAGTGTTACGAACCCACAGAGAAACACTATACATACGAACTCGAGTGCCAAATAGAATCTGAAAAGATCCTCATCTATAAGAAGTTTGATGATTTTGTAGAGAACCACCGGGTTCTGTGTAACAAATTCCCCAAAGAAAAGTTCCCCCCGTTACCCTCACGCACTCTGTTGCGGCAGGAGAGTAAGCGAAATGCCAAGAAACGAATGAGAGACTTGTCACTTTATCTTGAGAACCTTCTGGAAATGCCTAGCACCGTTATACAATCCAACGAAATGAGACTTTTCCTCGACTTTGAATCTCACGTCTCAGAACAAAGGCCTGGCCCCTCCAGCCCTATAACCTCACCCCGATAACACAGGCCTGGCCCCTCCAGCCCTATAACCTCACCCCGATAACACTGACAATTAATATAGTTACATTAGCAATAGCGTTATTTTTGTTTAGTTGTCGTACTTGTTATGTATGGTTTATATGTGTAATTTTGAATCTTTGAACTTTATATGTCCGAAATCATGAACATTAACAGGAGTGTCCTTGACAAATTCGTAATCTACAGATTTGGATACTAGTGGGGAGGATATAAGTATGTGTTTTGAAACGTGACAGTGATTGTGGATTTTGATTGGTTAATCTGGAATCTGATCGGTTGATCGCTGTCACGTGTCAAAATATTTGCTTGATCTTCCAACCAAGATCCAGATCCATCATATCTGATAGTGTTATTAGTTTGAGCTATCTTGTTCATTATAAATATAATGACTTAAAGATGAAGACCCCTTCGTGAAACTTAAACGCCGAGTACAGAACGATTTTCCGATAGGACATCGTAAATTGGTATATTGAATGTGGACACTTGAACAAACCATATTGTCATCTTCGGATCGTTCTGGACAATATTAATAATTATTTGATGGCACCAGTGTAAATATGTTTTATTTTTATTGCCCAATCATAATTTGCTGCAAGATATATTTAAATTGCTATTCACCTTTATCTTTGTGTTGTGGTTTTTCGAGAAAATGAAAAACTCGCAATTGAGTTCTTTAAAAGACGCTCAAATTGAACTTTGTGTTAATTTATAGGTTAATCATAATGGTTATTGATAAACCTTCCGAGTTCCGACGTCCCTACGGATCTATAGAATTAGAATGATAATAGCAATTTTTAACCAATAAACTTTCAAATTGTTACACAAATTTACATCATTTTATCACAAATAAAATAAAAATTCACCGAAAGTCCAAAAAAATACCTGGACTATGATCAAGTGTAAACAATGATATTTGACAAAATCTAAGAATCAGTTTGAAAACCGAAACTTGGAAAACAACTTTAAAATTTAGTGAACTTTTTTAGATTCGTTTAGTTTGTAGTGGCCGAAAAGTTCGTAAAATATGTATAAAACACTGAAAATATTTTAAATAACGTGTTTAATGTTTACCAACATTTTTACTGCATTGATCTAAATTAAAAACTACACAAAATTTAGAAGCTGACAGGACAAAAAACTTCTGTCAGGGTTGTTTCTTATAACGAAACAATACATACAACACTAAAATGAATATATGATTAATATACAACTTTTTATTATATCAGTGAAGAAGTCGGCGCAAATTAAAAAAGCTGATTAACAGTTACTGGACGGAGTCAGCCTCTAAAGCTCCGCCTTATCTTCGAGTGTTTTAAACACTAAGCCTGGGGAACCCATGTAAATCTAAACAGGTAAATCTAAACAGGTAAATCAACACTAAACACTAAACAGTTTAAGGTGGCGTGCGTTTGCGAATATCAAAAAGGTTGCGGAACGTTGCAAACACCCAAATGATGTCTTTGTGATGCAGTTTGGCACGGTTTCTCACATTTTGCCACTTAAAGTTGAAGCAGTTAAAATCGGATCCTCTGTTTTAATCTGATTCAGTAAGACAGTCAGGTTCCTCCCGTAAATCTGAAATAAGTTTGAATATTATAAGTATAAATTATAGCTGCACATGCTTTTATCAAGATGTATTAGCTTTTATTTCCAAAAGAAAACACTTTAGAAAATTGTGATCGACCTGTGACAGAATTTTAACCCGAAGCGGAGTCAAACTGAGAACAAGATCAAAGACTCCAACAACAGCGGGATTGTGTAAACTTTTTTGAAGCAGTCATATTAAACAAAAATATATATTTCCATTAAAAGTACGGGCAAGTTTCCATAAATGAAATTTTACTATGAGCGCTCATTGTCGCCTACTGAGCGCTTATTTAGCGATTATAATCGGTTTAGGCTGTTTATAATCGCTTTTTTAGCGATTATAATCGATTCAAATAAAAGCGCTCATAATCGATTATAATCGCTGTAATTATTTTTAAAAGCGATTATTTTATTTTTTAGCGCTTATAATCGCTCTTTGTTCGTTTCTAATCGTTAATATCGCTTCGAAAGCGATTTTCCTGCCGGTATTAAAAAAGCGCTTTTTTACAACCGGTATTAAAATAAGCGCTTTTTTACAACCACGTTTAGAATCATGTTGATGGGGTAAGCGGTAAAAAACGGTGAATAAAAAAAGCGATTATAATAAGCGCTTTTTAATTCCGTTCCAACCGGTATTAAAAAAAGCGCTTATAAGCGCTTTTTTACAACCACGTTTAGAACCATGTTGATAAGAAAAACGGTAAAAAAGCGGTGGAAAAGATAGAAAAGCGGTCAATAAGCGGTAAAATAAAAAGCGACAATAAGTGACAATGAGCGACAATTGGCGATAAAAAATCGCTTATAAGCGGTTTTTATAAAAATCGCTTTGTAGTCGCTCTGTAGGCGCTTTAAAAAGGCTAAATTGCAGTCAGCGTATAATCGCTTATTATTACTTATAATCGCTTATAAACGGTTCAGAAAAGCGCTTATAAGCGCTTTTCTGAGCGACCGCTTTTCCAGCGCTTATAATCGTTCTTCCTGCAGGAAAATCGCTTTCGAAGCGATATTAACGATTAGAAACGACCAAAGAGCGATTATAAGCGCTAAAAAAAGATAATCGCTTTTAAAAATGATTACAGCGATTATAATCGATTATGAGCGCTTTTATTTGAATCGATTATAATCGCTAAAAAAGCGATTATAAACAGCCTAAACCGATTATAATCGCTAAATAAGCGCTCAGTAGGCGACAATGAGCGCTCACAGTAAAATTTCATTTATGGAACCAAAGTACGTAGGGGAGATGTTAATTGTTGTTAACTCACTTATCGGGCAGGTTGCCATGTAAATCTTCTTAAACCAGTTGCATTGGTCAGCTGAAAATAAATATTTGAATACCAGTTATACTCGATCGACGGTGTTCTACATTTTTCTCGGTCATTTATTTTATAGCACAAGTATGTTGTGTACGATCAACATATTGGTTTAGTGAAAGCCTTCGATAGTACTTGTTTACGAATGGATGAACCTTTTATAATATCAATGATTACAATATATCATGCATTTTGTTTTCAAATAAATAAATCCAATGCATGTCTAAGTTTCATTTAGTTGAATTTGTAGATCTATGCGGTCAATGCCTAATATATTTATTATTCAGTAGTAAACTTAGGAATTAACTAATAAAATAGTATTTTATTTCTAAGCGAAAATACGCAAAATACGGCGTATTTAAAAAATTATCTCACGTATTTTTCAACTCTGAGAAATAAGCATAACCAAGAGTAAGTCACTAACGACAACTAAGAATCTCTCCTTGCAGCTGTCCTAGATTCGCATAATCTATGCTTATTGGTGTGCCTGCATCTCGGCAGGCTCCCGCGTAGTATCTGAGGAAGTTTTATTCATGAAATACTCGGGAAAATTGTAATTTACGCTATTTGATAGATTAGGCTTTACGTTAGTTAATGTTAGCTTAGCTGAAACATGACTATAACTTTCAACGTAAGCTTATATAGCTAGACCAAATTTATAATTTTTACAATGATGGAAAAATGGATGAAAAATGTACTAAACATGCAATAAAAACAAAATAAACATTAAACATACACCAAACATGCACACGCTGAACATGTACCAAACCTGTACTAAAGTCTAAACATGCACTTCACAGTTCACATACTTAATCCAAGAACAGGTTGTGACCATATTTGACGGCCAAATGTCCATGTAAAGGTTAATCGTGCAAGAATCTTCCGCACACGCCATCTTGTAAAACGCTTTGTTGACTTTTTCAGAGCAACCAGTCAACTTAGAAAACACCGTTTCACATATAATCGCTTTCTGAAAATAATAACTAATTATTGTTCATACTTATTAAATTAATGAATATCAAAAAAAAAGGCTTCCGTGTGCAAATATAGTTCATTTTTCGACTGTCTCAGAGCATCCAGTAAGCTTAGAGAACACTGTCTCGTACATTATCGCTTTTTGAATTCTATTACTTTCAACTATTGCATGATAAATAATTTGAGCTTGCTATGTTATCAAAATGACAATCTTAAAACTGGGGGTTGTGATGTCAATCTCGATCGTGATGTCACAAACTCGAGTCTGCATCCACTGCGTAGCCAGAAATGTGCAAGGTGAATTTATTTCACAATTACAAACACCTAGAACATAATTTTGTGAAAAGCTGCCTACTCTGTTGCCACCATGAACGTAGTTACACATCTTCCGGGCTCTTTGTGGGAAGCGACAGTTGTTGTAGTTAGAGACCCTCCAGCTGTACGCAAAATCGTCAAAGTCTTTTGTTACCACTGACAGAAATATCCAGTTTCAGATCTAAATGACTATTTCATTACCAAGACTTACTACAGGATGAGGAAGAGTTAAGATTATATCAGATTATTTTAGATACGAACGCAATTTTTTGACGGCTTCAGAATTATACAAATTGTTGTCTTCAATCAATGACTGACCATGTCTCTGTTTATTACGCGAAGAAATGTTGAAGAAGTTGTTCAGTATTTTAAAAGTACCTGGTGGCCAAGAATTTTTAGTGAATTCATCAGTATCCCGCCCATTTAGATTTCCACAAAGCCCTCCAACCTTTCCGGGCACAACAATTGTCCCACTCTTTCCTTCAATTGTTACTCCTGTGGAGATTGAGTATCGAATGAGTTGAAATTATCTAATACTTTGATAGTTTTGATCGGAATGTCAACATTTTCGATTTGAATACTGGCCACAAGTCTTAAGCTGAATTTGAACAGATCAATATGAAGAATGAACTGGAAGCCTATTTACCCATCACTCCATCATATCGGAGTGTCATCTGACCACCAGCAAAGGTAGCCACCATGTCGTATCCTTCCATTCGGGCAGAGATCTGATCATCTTTGAAGGGCTCTTTGAACAAGGCACTCTTTTTTCCTCCTACGTCTTGAAGAATGGACATTTTATAAACATCTTTGTGGTAGCTATAAGTATATGGTTAAGTTTGTATGGTATATTGGTGTACCCGTTGTCCAGGTTTACTCACTATAAGATGAAGTAGCTTTATCTTACTGAACTTTAATTTCCTGAAACTTTCCATATTGACCATTTTATTTACCTATGTACATTGTACTTACTTGTACTTGAAATTGTACACTACACTTGACATTGTACAGTGTACACTACACTATGTAATATGTATAATGTATACATTGAAAAACTGCATAGTTTTACTCACTTACAACCCAGCCCTTGTAGAGCTGTACGGTGGAGAGCCCACTGTATATCGTGATACTTTCTACACAAAGACCATTCTGTGCTCCACATGCCTGGAAGAATGAACGTTCATTCTTTGCCGCCGAGTTCGACTACTTCTTTGTTTACGGATTCGAATGTCCTTCAAACTTTATTTAAAATGTGTTTGTAATCATGATTTCATACTTTAAAAGTATATTCTTCAAGTTTGGACATAAAAACTTTCCGATATAACGATTCCTAATCTCCTTCTGTTCAGATAATTAGATTTTCAATCAATTTAGTTACTTCTTTCTGCAACTAGCCAGTAAATATGAGTGACCTAATTTATCAGAACTAACCACCAGATCGGCGTATACGGCAAATCTAAGTTCCACGTTATCAATCGAGAGTACGTAGGTGCAGGGTCCATTGAATTGGTACCTCTTTCCGTCGAACGTTTTGATATGATTGTTGCCTTGAATGCTGCACAACTGTGAAGCACTTGCAGCTTCGAAATCTAAAATATACGATTGTAAACTATGAACGTAGCATTTCAAAATTTGAATATGATAGATCTGGATTCACGTGGCAAGGTGGGGCATATTTTTTAAGTGATTCTGGGTGTTGATTGATCAATAGTCGAAACTGATTCGTTAATTTCTGTAACGTTTTAAAAATATGCCTCACATGAACTGTAGACAAGTAATTATCATTTTCAAAACTAAGGTAAAAATAAAACATATGTTTTGTATAACGCCATCAGCCATCACGAATCGCAAGGAAAGTGTTGAAACTCACTAGGATCTGGAGGACACTCCGCCACAGTGAGACATCTCCCCTCGTGAAGGAGCGGTTTCTCCGCCGGACATCTACACAACTGGGTACATTTTGAGGAGTGTCCGCGGATAAGTGGATCAAAACAGGTCGGGTTGGCGGGAAGATAGCTACACCTGTTAACATCGTTATCACTCCATTGTATAAATATTCTCATATTCTCATAAATGCCTATTCTCATAAATGCCTATTCTCATAAATGCATATTCTCATAAATACGTATTCTCATAAATGCATATTCTCATAAATGTATATTGATTATTGACTCTATGTTACGTATATATACTAAATGTCAGATATTAGATGTCATTGTTTAGGGAAATTTATCAATTGCATCATCTCTGTCACAACTCTAACACTTCTAAATGGGCCATACTTTTATAGACCTATGGCTCATCTGATGATGGGTATACCTGTCAAATGTCATATCATCGTTAGGACAAGCGTTAGGACATTGGGCCTTAGTGATACATTCTCCACTGTGATAGACAGGCCTCTCTGAGGGACATGCGCATCTTGGCCAGCACTGAAATTAGATGCAACTATATTTTATGCACAGACTAAACAAGTCTTGCATTATTCATATTGGTTTACACATATATGATTTTCATGCAAAAATGCTATTGAATTATTTTGAGCACGTATAGTAATGCAGTTACGTTAAGTGGTGTGTATAAAGTCGACGGTTCGTTGTGCTATCATTGTGATTCAATACATACTGCATACAATACATTAACAACTTGATGAAAATATTCAACGATTCTATTTTCATATTAAAATAGGACATTCCGCATGTATGTAAAAAATAAAGAAAAATTAAATACCTGATTTTCATCTGGAAGATCTGGATAGTCACAAGAAAGATCGTAATAAGATATAGGACAGTCCTGGAATACCATCCCGGGCTGACCCTGGCTGACACAGATTGGATCAGGTTGTGGTTTTTCCGGTTCACTCTGACCTTCTTTGTCATCGGTCTGTGGTTCTTCCTGTTCACTGTGACCATCTTTATCATCGGTCTCGTCCACATTTGTTGTCTCCTCCTCATCGGTCTCATCCACATTCGTTGTCTCCTCCTCATCGGTCTCATCCACATTAGTTGTCTCCTCCTCATCGGTCTCGTCCACATTCATTGTCTTCTCTTCATCAGTCTCGTCCACATTCGTTGTCTCCTCCTTATCAGTCTCATCCGCATTAGTTGTCTCCTCCTCATCGGTCTCGTCCACATTCATTGTCTTCTCTTCATCGGTCTCGTCCACATTCGTTGTCTCCTCCTCGTCGGTCTCGTCCAAATTCATTGTCTTATTTTTATCGGTCTCGTCCACATTCATTGTCTTCTCTTCATCGGTCTCGTCCACATTCGTTGTCTCCTCCTTGTCGGTCTTGTCCACATTCATTGTCTTCTTTTTATCGGTCTCGTCCACATTCATTGTCTTCTCTTCATCGGTCTCGTCCACATTCGTAAATTCATTCGTTGTCTCCTCCTCATTGGTCTCGTCCACATTCGTTGTCTCCTCCTCATCGGTCTCGCCCACATTCTTTGTCTCCTCTTCGTCGGTCCCGTCCACATTCATTGTCTTCTCTTTATCGGTCTCGTCCACATTCATTGTCTTCTCTTCATCGGTCTCATCCACATTCTTTGTATCCTCTTCATCGGTCTCGTCCACATTCATTGTCTTCTCTTCATCGGTCTCGTCCACATTAGTTGTCTCCTCCTCGTCTGTCTCGTCCACATTCATTGTCTTCTTTTTATCGGTCTCGTCCACATTCGTTGTCTTCTCTTCATCGGTCTCGTCCACATTCGTTGTCTCCTCCTTGTCGGTCTCGTCCACATTCATTGTCTTCTTTTTATCGGTCTCGTCCACATTCATTGTCTTCTCTTCATCGGTCTCGTCCACATTCGTAAATTCATTCGTTGTCTCCTCCTCATTGGTCTCGTCCACATTCGTTGTCTCCTCCTCATCGGTCTCGTCCACATTCTTTGTCTCCTCTTCGTCGGTCTCGTCCACATTCATTGTCTTCTTCTTATCGGTCCCGTCCACATTCATTGTCTTCTCTTTATCGGTCTCGTCCACATTCATTGTCTTCTCTTCATCGGTCTCATCCACATTCTTTGTATCCTCTTCATCGGTCTCGTCCACATTCATTGTCTTCTCTTCATCGGTCTCGTCCACATTAGTTGTCTCCTCCTCGTCTGTCTCGTCCACATTCATTGTCTTCTTTTTATCGGTCTCGTCCACATTCGTTGTCTTCTCTTCATCGGCGTCGTCCACATTCATTGTCTCCTCTTCATCGGTCTCATCCACATTCTTTGTCTCCTCCTCGTCGGTCTCGTCCACATTCATTGTCTTATTCTTATCGGTCCCGTCCACATTCATTGTTTTCTCTTTATCGGTCTCGTCCACATTTATTGTCTTCTCTTCATCGGTCTCATCCACATTCTTTGTCTCCTCCTCATCGGTCTCGTCCACATTCATTGTCTTCTCTTCATCGGCGTCGTCCACATTCATTGTCTTCTCTTCGTCGGTCTTGTCCACATTCGTTATCTCCTCCTCATTGAATGTTTTCTCTTGGTTCGTATCAACACCATCCATACTATCTGCACTCTTGTTAATACTTTTTGCGTCAGCATCCTTTCTGGCGCCTGTTTCTATTTTAGCTTTACCAATTTTTAGCTCATATGTGCTTTCAGCTATCTTTTGCTGATCAGCTTCAATTGTATCCCCCTCCTTTAGATCTACTTCCTTATCCTCAGGGTTCGTAATGACATCCATGTTATCACCCTCACCTACCACTACTTCATCTTCATCTTCCACTACTTTATCTACCACTACTTTGTCTTCTTCTGCCATCGTTTTGTCTTCTTCTGCCATCGTTTTGTCTTCTTCTGCCATCGTTTTGTCTTCTTCTGCCATCGTTTTGCCTTCACCTGCCATCGTGTTGTCTTCGCCTGCCATCGCTTTGTCTTCGTCTGCCATTACTTCATCTACCACTACTTTGTCTCCGCCTGCCATCGTTTTGTCTTCGCCTGCCATCGTTTTGTCTTCGTCTGCCATTGCTTTGTCTTGACCTTCCATTGTTTTGTCTTCGCCTGCCATTTCTTTATCTTCGACTCCCATTGCTTTGTCTTCGACTCCCATTGCTTTGTCTTCGACTCCCATTGCTTTGTCTTCTACTTCCATAACTTTGTCTTCACCAGCAATTCTTATGTCTTTGGCTCCGATCAATATGTCATCGTCTCCCATTACTTTATCTTTGCTTTCCATTGCTTCGTCTTCACCTGCCACTAATTTTTCTTCCATCATTGCTTTTGGTGAACCTGATAATTTATTTGGTTAGCGGAGTACTAGTAGTATTCTTCGTGTTCTACAATTTACATTTCCGTTTCTGCTGTTTTAGGAGTGCCTATATCATATATACATTGAAACTGGAAAACTGACAGTATTACTATTAGTTCAGCTAAAATTACCAATTGGAAAAATTTGCAAAGTAGGGAATCTTTCATGCTAGTATTATTTCTACACGAGGGCTATGTGTGAAGCTTGACTCACGGAGTGAGGATCTGAAAAGCTGACAAATATGTGAACGGTCCCTAAGCCATGTCAATGCAAAACACATACCTGTGCACTGATCGACTTTGGTAGAACCTTTAGGAGAGGTGAGACCTACTGGGCACGGTTGGCAGTCAAATTCTGAACTGTAGGTACCCTCCCGGCACAACTCACATGTTTTAAGTGTTGGAGAGTACCTTCCACCATTTGGGCATGGATCTGAAAATAAATTTATATCTATATTAGGAAGTTGGAAAAAAAGTTCTAACAAACCTTCAAGAAATCTCGCTCTCGTTGTGATAAAACAAACTTTAAATAATAACAACACGCCCCTCCCCGGGCTCCCCCCCCCCCCCCCCCCCATCAAACATATCAGAAAATAATGTTCCTCACCCCAAACACATTTGATGACAGAGTGAGACCCAGGAGAAGCAGTCATAAGGTAGGGACAGGAGATGCAGGTAATATCTCCCTCGGGTGAGAAGGTGTTCTCAGGACATAGCTCACACACCTTACTGATCAGATTCAGACCATAACCTCCATTACATTGCAGGTCTCCAGGAGAATCTGAACTTTCTGTGTTGGTACTAAATATCTGCTTGTCCTCTATGTTAGAGTTACTCTCGGGGTTTAATAATGCTGGATCGCTCACAGGTCTCATCTTAGTCCCAAGATCATCAGCTTCACTTATATCAGGCGAACTTGGTTTTATTTTCAGCGTCGAATTCATTTCACCCATCATTTCGGCAGGATCTCTTTTCAGTCGACTTTTAATCGAAATTGAGCTGCCTGCTTGGATCAATAGTGGAACTGTTCCTGTAAATTACATTTTAATGATTCGCCACATAATATTTCGGAGTTGCAGTTCACAGTTGAAGCTTCTATTTCCACCAAATTTCGTTTACCACCAAATTTCGATTACCACCAAATTTCGATTACCACCAAATTTCAATGGTTATTTTGTATGTTCAACTTGAACATACATGATACAAAAATGAAAAAACCATCCAAATTTGTTCACTTACCGACACTGGCAATATACATCAACACAAATACAATCGTAAAATCTTGGAGGAAGAACATACTTGAACCGAATGGCAAATAAAAATCTGTCAGCAGATGATAATTAACGGCTATAATAATAGATTGCAATCTGTACAAAAGCAAAAGCTACAACAGTCCCAGCGAATATGTCTCAATGCTAGATTACGTGTTAATTGGAAGGTAAATCTATTAAAACGGTTTGACTGCAGTCTACGGACAATTTTTTAGCTTGATTGGTTTAGTTTTATCGTATGTAGTACGTGTAAAATTCAATTATAAATTATCATTCAAATAGGTACCGCGGTGCCACGAATAAGCGCGCCAGGAATTACGTCAACGTCAAAAATTGTCACGTACGACTTTGTTTTCTAAGACATTTTGCTGACCCGTTCAAGCAGAAATCACCCCACGTGCTGGCTTATTCGATGTCAGACTTTCAGCTACAGTAACTGCTACATGTTACAGATATACAGTTATTTACATAACCAGGTGCTTCTTGTCAACATCTGGCCCGGTCTTCAGCGCTTGGTTAAGTATGTACTATTCCCTTTGTTTGTGGTTCAATACTTTCGTTGGACATTTTTGTTTAGTACCAGTAGTTCTGCCCTAAAATCATTAAGAAATTTCTCGAATTCCAACGTACTTTGAGGGTTTGTTTCTCTCCTACCCTGCTTTGTGGCATCTAATACTGCCCATGTGAGAACTGAGAAGACGTGCTATACAATATACGTACTTCTCTTGTTGAATATCGAGATCGCTTTCAAATTTTTAATTCAAAAAGAATATTTATGAACAAGTAACAACCATAAACTTCATTATTTAAAAATTTAGCTGTTCAAAATTGTGATCCTATAAACATAAAGCTTTAAAGTAAAAGATCCAAAAGCATTTTATCACTTACAATAAAAATTACAACTAAGCATCTAAATGATCTATTGACATTGTCAATTGTATGTACTGTCATTGCTGTCTTCCATGCTGTTGTCGATATCTATGTTTAATATATTTATGGTACATACAATGGAAGAAGCTGTCTTCCATTGCACTTTTAGCGATTACACTACCAATGAACTCGCGGAAGATTAAGCTTGTAAGAAACAATTTTAAGATCTTCTTCAAAATGTTCTTCAAAATACTGGCGTTCACATTCGATTCCAGGCAGCAGGTCCATGATCACATCACCTGACCCACTAAATTTACCGCCCCTTTCACGAAGACAGAGGGGTAGAACAGGATATTGTGCAGTCACTATGACCTGTCTCGGACAAAATAGTGAGCACAATTTCTTCACCTGACTCCTCAGTTCATTCAAATGGTTCGTCTCGAAGGAGACATACGAGAAACCAAGTTCAGGGGTAACGTGGATGGTAGCGTAGGACTCCTTCCTCTCCGGATGTAAAGCGTTTAAGGAGAAACCACACGGTTCAAAGTGAAAGTGATCCGTTTCCCACGGCTCTCGGAACAAATCGGAGAACATTTTGTCAATAGCAGTGCTATCGGAGGCGAGGTAGAACTGACCACATTCTTGAAGATTGATAAGTTTTATCTCCACTACTGTGTGAGTTGGAGAGTTGTACTTGGTAGGTTTTTGGGACACGAACTCAAAGCTTCCGTCTGAGAATGACAGGGAAGATTTAGAGCCGTCAGTTGATGAGGTAAGATCGAGAAGTGTGTGGGTAATTTGCTGTTCTAACTCTTCGTTCGACCTGGACAGACAAATTATTAATATTGGCATACTCGGCCGTAATTCGTATGAGCTTCATTAAACATTGAAACCACAAACGTTTACAATTTGAGTTTTAGCTCAGTGGTGCAATTTCAGGTTTTCAATGAGGGGGGATAATTGGTCAAATTTTGTTAAAGTTTGAGATTTTACGAGTTTGGGGAGCATGTTGGTACGCGATGTTCACAGCGTGGATTCATCGAGGGTGTTTAACTTTATACTTTATCCTATCAATGAAATCTGGCGGGAAATTTGACTGAGTTATTATTTTTATTTGATTGAGGCCACCGCCAATGAGCAGATATGCGGCAATAAGTAATATTCCGTTAATCTCGCTGACCTTTAATAAAATAAAGAAGGCACAAGAAGAGCCGGTAATTTATTATTTCATTAATATCTAAGAGATTTAATTAACGAGGGTGCACTAACTCTAGGAGATTTAATTAAGAGTATCACATACGAACTTTTGATTATGGAATTTATTCAAAATAACCGCAACTAGCACATATGACTATAAATTCCATTATCAAAATTTCGTATGTGATTCTTGAGCTGGGGAGGTCCTTGATACATGTTTCGCGCGCGAAAAGTGGCATGCAACGTATGTCAAGGAGGTCCCAGGAGTTTTTACACGAGTGCAAAATTACATTTTCTACCATAACTTTAAAAGGAAGCATTTTAATGGAAAATGTTCTATATATATAGAATATATAATATAAGTCATAAGAAAATGTGCTAGTTGCGGTTATTTTTCACTCATCAAAAAGTCTCTAGCACATTCCTATCGAAATTTTAGAAAAATCTGTACATGTTAAAAACGAAAAATATGCCTAAATTTGTTTTGTAACTTTGAGGTCCAAAAAATCAACTTTCCAGTTGAATGAGCACATTTTTTATTTTAAAAATTCAGCCTTTTCATATACGATATTAAACTTTTAAACGCATCTAGGACAAGATGTGGACAAACGTCGTGCAAAATTTCAGCTTGATAGCACAAGAAATGATTAATTAATAGACTCTCAACCAAAAAATCATGTTTTTCAAAAAATACACTTCAACCAGAAAATGCTCTATTATAGAAATAGGTATTCTCAAAAAAAAATGGTTTGTGTGGAAACGGTGCGCTAGATAGTCACTAAACTTCTTGTGATATCATTTGGGTTGGCCGACACAAACCCCTGTTTTGGACTTTTGGTGTATGTCCCCTTAATACTCCTACGGCAGAGTGCTAATCCTGCAACATTGTTTTCTGCAACGTCACCAACTGCAGGCAATATAAATGAAACAATATATATTGAATTAACAAGAAAAAATTCCCATGTCGGTAGATTGATTTTTCTTCGTTTCTCCGTTTCTTTGGATTATTTCATTGATTTCAACTATTCACTCATTCACTGCGGCAAAATTTCTCAAGATTTTGACCTATGGGGATATACCCCAATCCCCTGAATTTTCACCTCTGTTTTAACCTTTAGCACTTTAAATGAAATAAAATTCTGCTAAACTTGAGTTAAACGAACCTATACCCAGATGGTTGCAGACCAGGTTTAAGTAATGCTCCGTTAGAATAGGAAAACCACTCGTAACCCTCCAACCATCCCAGTTGCCGGTTGAGCAAGGGCAGGAGTAAGAGTGGTGTTGTAGTGCCGCATGTCTTGAGGAGGATGTGGTCCCGCCAAACAAATAGGGAGCTCTCACTTAGAATGAACGCCGTCACTTCTTTATGTCGTAACTCCCTGTGTGTTCGCATTTTTTAATATTGACTTTTTTATAGTTGTGTTAACTTCTGAATAATATTGAGTACAGAGATAGAAAGTTCATGAGATACAAAATTAACAAGCTCTCAAATGACATTATAAGAAGAAACTAAAGAATCTCAGAACAGAAGTTGCAAATAGCCTTCCAAACTCGATCAATAATTTATAATACAGAAAACTTTGAAGTTGTGAGGGAACAAGAAATCAAAATATTTCTCTGTTTTCAACGACAAAAATCAACTGGTAGACAACCATACGCAACTATTTTGAGCAATACTACGCGGTTCAGACAGTGAACCTTCACTGGAGCCGTTTGTTGGCAGTCCTCGGCCACTCAACAATCCCGTTCCATCTTTTAAAATGGAGCAAGCTGCTAAAAAGCTGAGGAATGGTAAGGCTGTTAGTGTTACCCAAGTGCAAAAACTTGATAGTCCTTAGACGCATTCAAAGACAAGCTTCTACACAGGACCTTGGCAAAATGCCAGCTTCTCAGTACACAGGACCTTGGCAAAATGCATAAAAGCCTAACCATAGCCGTGCAAATATTGACACAGACGACACACACTTTGCCGATGAAGATGAGAAGACTTTGGACTTAAGAGTACATGTTACCAATACACAAAGAGTTATTGGAGGAATGGAATTTGTTTGTCAATGAATCAAAAATTGAGTTCACACATTTCTCTGGCCGATAAAAACGAAGTTGATGACAAGGAAGCGCTACTTCGAGGAAGAGAGCCCTGGACATCATCTATCTCACTTGGCTCCTAATTGTGCAGCAATGAGGACATAAAAAGACACTGCATCCTGGCATATCTTTCTTTTCATTCCTACAACTACAAGACATTTTGGGAACCGCTTGGGCTTCATAAATCTTAAGTTTAATGTACATTGTACAATTGTAGCTGCTGGGCTACATTAAAGCATCTTTTAATCAAACTGGATGTAAGCCACCGCGGAAACATCTTAAGCAAATAGAATGACATACCCTAACATTACTGTATAAAAGCATATTAATATGATAATTTCAACTAAAGGCAACTTTATATGTGCTCAGCTATGTTTTGTTTCGACAAGCTCTATTATATACATTTTAATCGTTTTAATGAGATCTAATCTTGTATGAGTTTTGAGTTTGAATTGATAACACTTATTATATATATTATTTTTTGAGTAAACATTGGCTGGTACTTCGGGCCGGTCCCCAACAAAAAAAAACTGTGTTACCATGGTTACAGTACTGTGTTACATGACATTAACATACCCTAACATTATCAGAAATGACACAGTCTACAAGAGGGGTAAGGTTGTTCCACTCAGTGAGCGTGTTGCTCGTGCACGATGGAGGGTGCTCGCCTGCTCGGTCATATCCTTCGCAGTGATAACAATTCACCTGCACAGCTTGCATTACACTTCGCAGTTAGAGAGCCAAAGTACTAAAAAGGGTAAAGTAGGCAGACACCAATAGAACTTGTTTAGTACTATAAAATTTGACTACCTTACTCGGGAATATTATAGCGGGTTAATTTATGACTGGGAAAATTAATGACCGGGAAAAATATGGCGGACTTTCCCAAAACCCGCCAAATTATCCCGGTCATGTATTTACCGGTGGCCGACCTTTCAAGTTTTTTTTCAGAGGTCAACAAATTTTCAACCGAAATTTCTGTTTTTGTTATTTGTTAAAGAAGTTATTTCAATTTACAGTTATTGATATTACTCAGAAATAGAAAAAAAAGACACGTCTATTTAAAGGAAAATAAATCTAAGCAATAATAAGTCAAATCTTCATTAAAGCGTATTCTCATTCTCATTATCGCTAATGTCCCCGCCATTATCATTATTGATATCCCCCTGAGCTGCTGACCGTCAAATTCGAAGTTGTATTGTTGTCTTAACAAGACTTTCATTTTGTCCGCTAATGGGGCTACTGCTCTGAAGGTCAGCCGGAGCTTAATTTCCTACCCACCGCTTGGTATTGGGGAACGTCTTGGCTTTGTATCTTCAACTGCTCCAGTAATCAATCCACCGTGGACCATGAAATAGTGGCACAGTTTACTCACTTCTAGCGGGATGTGGCCACAAGTTACTTTAACGGGATAAACTCCCTCTTTCTTTAGTCTACACACTGCACACGAGAAGCGATCAATCTTTAGAGACATTATAATTATAATATATATTATATATTATTATAATTTTCGTTTTCTTCTATAACATATAAATTGTTTTCTTCTCACGATTCACTGATTCATGGGCAAGAGAAGTGATAATCACGGTCCACCCTGAAATCTGATTTCTATAACCAAATTGTGAATTTTATAACGAAATTATGGTAGCAACCGCCAATAAAGTTACAGCCCTCCATCCACTGCTTCAAAAGTCTTCTCTAGCACATATGAGACTTCAGGTAAAATATGATGATCACCACCCCCCTTGGAACCCCATAATCTGAGTCGGCGGGTTTTTTTATGACTGGTAAAATTTTTGACCGGGAAAAATATGGCGGAATCTTCCAAAACCCACCACTTTATCCCGGTTATAATATTCCCGAGTAAGGTAAAGCAATAGAGACATTCCATTTGTAAATACAGACGATTTGTACAGTTTAAGAATGTTAACCTCTGATAGAGCAGGATGGAAGATATTATTTTAGTTTATGAATAAAAAGTTTTCTTTTCAGGCTATTTATCAAATCTTTAAGATGTTCATTTATGTTCTATTTTTCATTTGAACAAAGTTATAATATAATGATAATTTATATTTAATAGTTGTTATTTCATATTTGTCATTGATTTTTTGTTGACGAGAAGAACCTAAACATTAAAGATGATAATAGTGTTGGTCGTGTTACTAGAAGTAATGGTATTCAGACTCAATTATCTCGTTATGCGTGCTTCGATTTCTAACTTTTAACCATTATAACTAGTAACTAAATCTCTTACAAATTAATGACTTTCAATAACTTCAGAATCAGTGATGTAGGTAATTATTCAAATATGTTTCATCCAAAAGTGTCCAACCCGATGATGCTGCAGCCGGTTTGTTTCAGTAATTCTTCCCATATATCTGTCTCTAGATCCAGCAATGAACAGCATTCTGGCACTGTGAAGTATACCCGAACCGTCTTTTCCCTTCCCTCAAAGAAATCCACCATCCCTTCCTCTGACATCTGCAAAACAGAAATCTTCTTATTAGTCATGGATCTGAGAATATTCCCGTAGAAAAGTCTTCCGCCCCGAGGTTTGAGACCTGGAACGGCTCAAGGGACCCCTCAGAAACAAATTTGGCTTGGGTAAAATTTCTGAATATGGGGCAGTTTTGCGCAATTGACCACGCCCTTTTTTGGCGCTTTCGCGACTTTAAAATCGAAATAAATCCGCTTCTAATTGGAATTAGGAGCTCAACTTGGCTTTAAAGTTGTTCATAATCATCATATTTAGGGCGGTAGAGCATAATTTTAAAGTCACCAGACATCAGGTTGTTGAGTTATGTGACCACACCCTTTTTTGCTCTCGCGAGTCGTTATTTGCACACTAAATACGAGATATCTCGGCTTCTGATTGAGCTAGGTGCTCATCCTGGGCACTAAAATGTTCGGAATTATCATATTAACTAGGGTCGAGCACAATTTCAAAGTCCTCGGACGTCAGATTGTTGAGTAATTAAGCAAAAACCTATTTTTACGCAGTCGCGAGTAGCGATTGCCCCACATCCAGAAAGTTAAAAATTTCCTCGCAGATACAAATTTTCTGCTTTTTGTGGCCCGCTCGCTTCGCTCGCGAATTTTCCACTTTCGCAATGTCGGCGAGTGAAGCAGCACAGTTCTTAAGCATTTGGAGCTAGGCCCCAGAAAATGTTGAATGGCCACATTAAAATCTACAGTAACAAAGTATTTAAAGCCCTTCAAAATAGTGTGTTACAAAATGGCTTTCTCATACAACCCAGTTACAAAATGACTCTTTAGTGTGTTAGCCAAGGAATAGTGTTAAGATCTAAAAAGACTATTCTTCATGATGCCTACGGTCGACACATTGTTAAGTTAGAAAACGGTAAGAGGTACGTGGCTGTTTTTTTTCGGTATATAGTGCCCACAAAACTTTGACGAAGCACAAGAGCCTAAGTTTTTAATCGGCCGGTGATAAGTGGTTTAATTGATGATTTTGTGACCCAAATGTCTCTCCCTCTTATCTGTCCTACTCTCGTTCTCTCTCCCATACTCAACAGATATGCTATATCAAGTATTACTATTAGATACGTGAGGGGCACTCAGAATTGAATTGAAATATGCATTGACTGAGTGATTTCATACTTTTGCACCGTTTTAACTACCAAAATAAATGTAATGGGTTTTTAGAATACAATAAGCGGGTTTATACTTTTGCATTTCAACTCCGATAGTGAAGTCCCGGACGTAGGCCTTGGTTACACTAGTATAACATAATCTCGAATGTATTATTGCTATCAAACAGCTTACAGCATACTGGAAGCTATATTGGTCAATTATGTGTTGAGTTTGTACAATTTGTATAGCAACTTAGACAAATAAATACCAGCGATTCAAGCTATAATTTACTCGTTGTTACACGAATTATGAATTAGGGATACACTGATTCATAGGATTAGAGAAATTTCAATTGCTAGTTGGTTTGTGTGTAGATAGAAGGTCTGTGCGGCTTCTAGTGATAATAGAAAATTATTATAATTATAACGTAAGAATTATTGTAAAAGTTATGTTTATAATTATTGTATATAGAAACAAAGACAGTAACTTACATATCGAGGCACTCTCCTTGTACCTAGCTATCGAGAATGACTCGGACCGAAAATTTTCTAAATCGATATTATTTTCAAAGTTTTTCTGGAAACCACTTCAAGTTCATGTTTTATGCTACCCTGATCATTACGAGCAGAAAACACTTTTTCGGTCCGTACCTACATTTGGAAGGCTGTGGATGTGATTAGTTCCATATAATTATAAAGAACGTGATATTTGGCCCTCGGATTTAAAGGAGAATGTGCAAATTTGGTCCTCAGAGAACTGGAATAGTCAGGATTTGTCGAGAGGATCGGAAAAATTGCGATTTGTCTCGGCAAACGTCAAAAATCTTGATTTGTCGCGGAGACTGGGAAAAATCGCAATTCTGCAGGTGCTGCGATTTCCTTTTAAACTTGTCTTTCATTTGTCAACAATTTTGGATTGTTTTTAGAAAATTCCCTCTTTACCCTAAAAAATGTATGGTGAAATGTTTCAAAATTCAGATCGTAGACTTTATAAATTTCCTCTTTGGCACCAAAAATTTCCTCCGAAATCGAAATTTCCTATTTTATGCAGTCACGAGTGAAACCATACTCTACCCCTTAATTAAATGCGATGATTCAGCCAATTTTCATACCTAAGTTGATCTCCTTTCTTCAATCAGAAGCCCAGATATCTTGTATTAAGTGTGTCAATCACTACTCGTGATAGCGTAAGAATAGGGTATGGCCTAATAAGTAATACCTCAACAACTTGATGTCTGAAGACTTTGAAACCATGCTCTACCCCACTCAATATGATAATTCTGAACATTTTGCTGCCCGAGTTTTGCTCCTAATTTTAATCAGAAGCTTAATAATTTTGATTTTAAACGTTGCAATCGCTATATACTCGCGACTGCGTAAAAATAGGTTTTACCTAATAACTCAACAATCTGCAACCGATGACTTTTACATTGTGCTCTACCCTAGTTAATATGATGATTCCGAACATTTTAGTGGCCAGGATGAGCACCTAGCTCAATCAGAAGCCGAGATATCTCGTATTTACTGTGCAAATAACAACTCGCGAGAGCAAAAAAAAGGGTGTGGTCACATAAGTATAACTCAACAACCTGATGTCTGGTGACTTTAAAATTATGCTCTACCGCCCTAAATATGATGATTATGAACAACTTTAAAGCCAAGTTGAGCTCCTAATTCCAATTAGAAGCGGATTTATTTTGATTTTAAAGTCGCGAAAGCGCCAAAATAGGGCGTGGTCAATTGCGCAAAACTGCCCCATATTCAGAAAGTCTACCCGAGCCAAATTTGTTTCTGAGGGGACCCTTGAGCCGTTCCAGGTCTCAAACCTCGGGGCGGAAGACTTTTCTACGGGAATATTCTCAGATCCTTGATTATATCTCAGTTCCGATCACGACTTATTGTTTTGCCAAATAGCCGTATAAAAAGTCGACCACAACTGTTTAGTCATGAAAGAAAGAAGTTATATTTTTGGCAAGTTAGCCGAAAGTTGAAGTTAAATTGTTGCTGGTAAAACTTTTGACAAACAACTTTAGCTAAATTTCAAATCAAAATTACAACGAACCTTTTGTATCGATGATTAAATCCAATGATGACAATAGTAGGCACTATGTAATAGCCGTGTTCGGGTAAAAGATAAGAATAGCTGCAGGAAGTTGAGGATCAGGTTCAAAGTTGCTCCCTTCTTTGTTCCACGGACAACTCTCTTCTTCGCAATTATTCATGTACCTGTGTCACAACATTTAGAGGAACAAATCGGTAAAAGTGTTTTCAAAAGTTGAAATTAAACATCGTAATTCACACCCTATAGTCCGCCATTAGATGATGAATATGGCTGAAGCAATCGGAAGGCTCAGTTAACGTCTACTACACAGAGAAATAGTTATACTATAGAAATATGACTATAATGTGATTTTGTATTTTACAGACAAATTACGGATATAATGATAATAATAATAATGACTCAATAAACAAGCGGATTCCCTGAAAAACAGCACCAAACAGATAATCACAGCCTAGAACTTTCACTAATCAAAAATTTATTCACTGCGTTTATGTTTTTATGTAAGCAAAGCAGGTCGCCTTCTTCTGATCCCGTAATTGAACTGTGTAATCGCGTAATTGAGATGTGTAGACTAATTCAGCGGGTGGGACCAAATTGGAATATCTGATTACATATTGATATACTAGGACGTGTGGTAGTGAGTGTTGTAAACGATGTACATTGTTCATGCAGAAAGTTGACTTAAAATGATTTAGATCGCTTTAGTTAATATTATAGATAAAGACTGTTTTTCTTCTTCACTCCGCTGATAATGGTCCCAAGAGGGTTGCAAAGCTGATCGAATACCGAATCACCGAATAGCAATACTTCATCGAACGAATATATTCGATCGAACGAGCATTATTGAGTGACCTACTACATAGTTATACAGCCAAACCTCTACTTACCGTGCCTCTGTTTATCTGGCTCCTCGTTTTAATTACTGAGGTATTTTAATTAATTCTCCAAAACCTCTCTTCTGCTATTTCTCTCTTTTTTGCAAACATGTGACAAATTGCCGATATCATTTTGATTTAATCATTGTACGTAGTGAAATATGGCTTTATTAAGCAATTGGTAACAAAAGTGGCCATATTTGTTTTTTAATGAGTCAAAGTATTTGTAAAATGCATATCAAATAACTTAGTTCTACATTCAAGTCTCCGACCCTCAAGAACATTTTTGTTCTTATGCACACGAAGCATTCGTTTAATCTCACAAAAATTAGGTGCCAATACAATAATAATGAACCATCGGATATCACTTTGTATCGATAAGTACACGATCAAGCCATAGCAATGCTGGAAATTAAATTGAATGTTCAAAACATTGAGTTATAAAAACGGTTGAATCGCCTAATACTATATACTGGTAATAAACCGGTACTAGAGCACAAAGGAAGCCAAAGCGTAGTTTGGTATGATATATTAGCAAACATAACAAGATGGTAAGCAACAAGCTGTAAGTAGTATTTACATATTATACGACAGCAGGCTGACTGCAGCACTACCCAGCTAATATGCGGCATTACATATACACACACCACACGGCAACTTCATGTTAAATCGTCTGATCTGGATGTGGTGACAACCGACAACGCCAAATCCGTATAGGTACTTAGTTTCAATACAAACGCTGGCAAGATCTGGGGTTTGACTATAGCGCAAACCAAATGTTAAACGCAGATTGTTGGCTGTGCGTGTATAACATTTGATTTCTTAATTACGATAATTGAAAAGTAATGCTGTTCTGATGAAGTAGGCAGGATCACATAGTATATTATTAATATAAACTATATATTTTATATATATATTATACTGAATATCCGTTTATAATATATATGATTTATATATATTACTAACAAAACTGTGACAATTTCATCGCTATCGGATTGTTAAAAACAGTGTATAATTATAAAATAAGGAAATATACAATTTCGTCGTATCCAGAAATTTCCGTACTTCCTTAAAGTTAATTTAAATCTTCCTCACAGAAAAAGGCATGGTTCAAATTTAGATTTGGCCATAAATTAAAAGTTTTGAAGCCTATTCAAAGTACTTCTATTAAAGAAGTTTTGGTTATCTTGAGCTAAGTTAACTGTTATAAGTATAAAAAACTGATTTCCTAGGGCGTAGTGTACCTAAGCTAATCTAGCTCTAGTCACGTAGCACGAACGGTAGGGCGTACCGTATGATAGAAGTGAAACGAGTTAATGAAAGATGCCGGAGAACTATCAAATGGAAAAGAAATACAGGACAAACTTGAAAAATAAAACTTCTTAGTTGCGATAACCTTTTGACGCGACAATTTTACACATTCAAAGTGTGTAAAATTCAAATAAACCTTTCTATTAAAACCAATATGGACATTGGATAGGTTCAAACTTTACCCGTCAACAAAAGAGCTGGAATATAATTTACAACAATTGTCCTACTTATAACCGAAAAGAATTGAAAGACACGTACCTGATTCTTCACTTAGACGCAGGATAATGAAATAGTGACTATTACTACAGAACGGAATATTTATACCGAGCTAGAATACTACCGAATACCTCCCCTTTACAACATGAGGTTACTAACCCTAACCAGGTTAGGGTAATTAGGTTGCATCGTAATTTAGTTCTGCTGCAAATCAGCAATATCTTGGTAATGGTATGTGATGATTAAACAATAATGTCAGAATGTGTGTTTGTGTGCGTGTGTGTCTGTATGTGTGTCTGTATGTGTGTCTGTATGCGCGCGTGTAATTTCCGAGCGGCTTAATCAAGAAAAAGGTAAGAGTTTACGGGGCTTGTTAGGGGAGGGGCACTCATTGCGGTCTGTTTGGACTGTTATAGAGAGAGTTCATACTTTCATACGACAATTTTATGCGTGTTTTCAAATATAATAGTCGGGTTTATACTCCTGCATTTCCACTGCGATAGTGAAGTCCCGGCCGTAGGTACGGGTTACAATAGTGTGATGATAAAGAACTACAAACGGATAACGCCCCTATTTTATCCGGTGCCGCACTGGGCGCTCCTTCGTGATTGAATTTCCTGTCTGGCCTGATGTTTTTGTAATGATATGATTTGAATTATTTCATGCGATTGCGATAGAAATACTGACTACTATATTAAAGCTTATAGTTAGGTATACTCTAAATATGTGCATACATTTGTGTTCATCATTAAGAAATTAAGCGCAACCTTACATTCTATGTAGCTATAATTCGTCAGGCTAACTAAGCCGCCCCATACACACATACGCTTTAACTCCCATAACGAAGTTTTAATACATTTTGCAATCATGAGACTTTAATCAACAAAACATGATTCATTAAAAAACCTATAATAAAGAAAATGTGGTTCCTTTTACAAATTCCAAAATTCCTTTAAAATAGATCCGCAGTAGATGTGACAAACCATAAGCTGTGCAGTGGATCACAGTCTTCTCAGCATTCATGCAAAAAGATAGATACCACAGAATGATTCTACTACATTCTCATTTAATATTTAATATTAGTGGCATATGCAGGTTAGTCTGACTAGCAATTGTACTGTTCGACAAAGAACTGTAGTTATCAAGCAGACTTCATTTGAACAGATGTGATACTACCAAACAAGGTATGATAAAATGGACTAAGAGCCATTTATTATATTGAGATGTCTACCCTATTCATCATATGTGATATGATTACAATAAACGGAAACCCTATAAACCGGGCTTTTCGAGCTCGACTTACAATTATTGCTCCAAAATATTGGTTTTGTGAATAAACTTCTGATAATTTGTAACATTTTTTGATTTTTTTGGTATATATGAATGTTCGGGGCCATTGCCAAGGTCCATTAGGTGATACTATCACCAACTTTATATTTATTGAAGCTTAAAATGTTCTAAATTTACTCTGCCTCTCTATGTAGTCGTCTCGATTTGGAATCTATACTTGCTTGCTTGACGCATGTAAATTTTCTTGCAAGTTGAGCATGCCACGTGGCTAAGCATGTCATGTGACATTTGCGTTGCGTCTCCAAGACGACCGGATGCAGTACGCTTGCACGGAACTTTCTGCTAGAGTACATCTAGGATTACTTAATTGATTTATATCTTGATTATAGGCATATCCCACTGGTGATATGTAAGCATCTTATAACTTACGATACATTAATACTTGCGATGATGATTTTGGCGAGTTTTTGCGAGGAAACTCTGTCGTGCAGCGTCACAGTAAGCATGCTATCCTTGTTACTGAGTCTTCATTATTCCTGCATCATTTGTTTGATTCGTTTCTACAGTGCGTATATTGTTGTACTTTGCAAGTTAGCTGCACATACTCTTGCGTTTATGCGATTATCGTCTCTTTAAAGGTTGCCATGCCTACATTTGTCCACTTAAAATGGTAAAATTTGCGTAGTTATTAACTCCCCTCTTGTGTTAATATTTCATACAAATACAGATAAAGTTTCAATATATGATATAGTACACTTTATCTCCTTCTACACTAATAGGAATATAAGGAATTAAGATATTACTGCTAGAATCATTAAGTTCTCTAAAGTGCAAATGCTATCCGCTTTTCATAAGTTTATCATTATTACTTTTAAGTTATAAATATATACAGAACAAACCTTAACATAATAGCGTCATACTCATAGCCCAAAAACAAGAGTTGTTATTGATAAGTCAGTTTAGAAATATGCGGTACCTCATAATGAATCTAAAAAGAAATGAAATGTCATTTGTTTCATCATGTGTGTAGAAAGAAAAAACTCTTGGGACGCTTTGACACAATTCAAGAGCATAACATATTAAACATGTTAAAGATTTATCGCCTTAAAGTTTTAGAAGTCGAAGAACTTAGATGCAAAGATCCTTTTACATGTTTTAATTCTATGTCCAACTGAAATGTTAGAACTTAATTTTTAAGGAACTACCTATATTATTTATTTTGAGTATCGACCGATTATTCTTCGGTAATTAAACAGTAATCGACATCCCCATCATCCCTTCAACTTTAGTTCCGAAATTATGCCAATTCCAATTGGCCGTTGGGGAATGGAGGTACCTGGTACATGACACTGTCATTTAGTCATTAACTCAACTCAAAAGATGATTAACTTTACTCAAAATATAATCAAAGAAAGATTGCTGTATTGCGATGTTCCGGTGTTGAACCTGCCTACACCGTTTTAGTATTTATGCGGTATATAATAACGTTTTAGTATATACCGTTTTAGTATTACATTTGCTGTCAACACTTTCCAGATGTCAGGGAGAGCTAAATCACCTCAGTCCAACTAGTTCTCATCGATACGGCGAGACTGCAATAATATAATTTTGGGGCTCATTAGGGATTTCGGATCGGGAGCGTTCTAGAATTCTAAACTTCACCACTGCTTACACGTGAAGCTATATTCAATTAAGTCAGCTGCCGGCTGCGGTATCAAGTTTTCTGATGTCAACATTTGTAAGTGAGTAAGTGCTCCATTAAAGTGCATTTGCCATGACAACCCAGATGTATGCAAGACGATACTCTTACTAATGCTCATTGGGTTGCCATAACAACCAATTTTACAGCTTATCCTACGAGTTACATATTACATATTATTTTCTCCGGGACAGACCTACCTGGTGTGCATATCCTTTGTCTTCTTAGTTGTGGAGGTCAGAGTTGTATTGTGTTGTATTGATACCCATACACTAACTACTAACTAGTTACAAGGAATAAACTACTTCTATCTATAAGATCTTTTGTATTTTCAGTTTCGTTTGGCAAAATTTTATTACACAATTTCTAAAACCTCCAAATTTTAACTCGCCAAGTTTTACTTATCTAAAATGTTTTTTCCAGATTGTTCCTTGTATGTGCCACATGTGTTTCCCAGATTTCTTGACGATATATTACTGAAGTACATTAAATACAATCAATCTATAGAAATCATTTAAAATTGCTGAAAGAAAACCTTCACAAAGCTTAAATTTACGGTTCAACCGCTAATTTAATCTGCATTATCAAAAGCCCCATCTCATCTAACTTTGACAATGTTTTTCCACTGACCTCGGTTCAACCATAAAAGTATCAACACTCAACATAACTAAATCTTCTTCCTGATAGGTGTCAAATTATATACCTGTAGTCATGCATAACAGCTATCAGCCCTTAAAGCCTGCAAGCAACAAGCTTCTCAAAAAGCGGTGGGATGGGGCAGCCCAAGAAATGCATCGTAAAAAAGTGTCTGGAGCGAAATCAGTTGTGGATACCGGATCACCAGCAACCTACACTCACCTCCAATATAAAATGAAAAAAATGCAGGTTTGTCTACGTTTTATTACATTGGGACATTTTCGCCTTTATTCCTATTACTAGCAAACCCTTTAGCTAGGCTTTCGACATCGATTACTAATACTAGCTTATTACTTACTAGTGTTACCCGGCCTTCGGCCGGGATTTCACTGCCGCAGTTAAAAAGGGTAGGAGTAATTACCCGCTGAGTCAAAACCTGCATTAGGTGACCCAATAGTTTCTTAAACAATAATCTCATAATCAGTTATTTGTTGTGGATAATTAAGTCATTATTAGCCATGAGGCACCACATTCCATGATCATAAGGTCTGAACACCGACTATTACACCTTATCACTCCCGTCTTGAACCGCTTTCCATTTTTATTTAAATCATTATAGAAATTAACCCTTGTTAACTCCGCACCACACCCGCCTATTAAGCTATTATATTTGAAAACACGCATGACATTGTCGTATGAACTCTCTCTTTCTCTCTCTCTGCAGTCCAAACAGACCCCAAACACTAACAGTCCCCCTCCCCTAATAAGCTTAAGGTATAACATTACAGCGAATCTTCCGGGCTAATCCAATTATGACGCTACTTAAATGCAGCTATAACATATTATACAGTAATGAGAGAGAGAGCAAGCCCCGTAACTCTTGCCGTTCTTCTCAAGCCATTTTATGTAACATTTGTGGTACAAAACCATCAATTAAACCACTTACCACCGGCCGATTTAAAAAAAATTTGCTTATGGGCTTCATCAGAGTTTTGTCGGCACTATACCGAAAAAACCAGTCCCGTAACTCTTACCGTTTTTTTTGTATAACCGTTCGGAAATTACACACAGACAGACACACAGACACACAGACACACACACCTTCTGGTGTTATTAAGTTGATTAGGATCACCCTATTCATGATTCAGTTATAAGCCAAAATAATGTTTTTCTCCCGCTTTAACCCGCAAAATGATAAAATGACTTCTCATCAGCTAGAAGAGGAGCGACACGCTATAGTTGATCGTGATAACAGGCATTTACTGGAGAAAATGAGCGCCATAATGAGGACAAGGGGCCGAGTTGATAACTGGAATGATTACCAACCAAAGAGGTAACCATAACTACCCTTATCTTCTAACTTATCGTTATTTGTGACCCTTATATACCCGGAGTGTTGATACTAATTGTTACCATAGCAAGTGCCAGCGGAGAAGGGGAATACTGTTCGATAATTCCATGACCAATAGTCACAGATACAGGATATCTTCTAACGTTTTTACTAACCTCAGTTTGAACAAGACCAAGAGAACAAGGGAGCTCATCCGAGTGACGTTGGAAAATCAGAAAATCTTGGCACGTATCCAAGCAAAGCAGCCACAGTACAGCGCCAAAAAATGGGTATATTATTATAAAGTTATAAGGTTTAAAATATGTACCTAAAGTTAATAAAAATTATTGGATCGAATGATTATTATATTAATTGCAAGTCTCCACTCTCCAGTCATTCTCTAGTTCACGGCTCCATTTCTTATCACTTTCGATGTTTATTTTTTTCCGGTTCCAGTTGACCCTTTCTCATATTAATTAAGGGTCAGAATACAGTATTGGAGAAAGTTCTTGACTTGTTATAATTGTAACAAAATTGCAGGAAGAAAGTTGGATGGAGACTAAGCGGTTTATGAAGAGTGTCCGAAAATATTCAGACGATTGGTATCAACTGCAAGAGGCAGAGAGGAGGCAGGCTAGCAAACAGCCATCCAGAGCAGTAAGTGCCACTTTTAAATAATTGAACGTATGATTCCTTCAACCAGCCATCTAATAGAGATAACTTTTAAACTAATGATTCGTATTTTGTAAGACACAGTTTTAAGAAAGCCTGACTGTCATATTATGGCAGGCTTCAAGTCACGCTAGAGCAACCACTGCAGCAGAAGAGAGGGATTCTGAAGATGAGGTATGTTCTCCTTTTTATCATAATTTTTTCTAAGATTATTTTTAGAATGTTCAGTTAGAAAGTTGCAGTTTTCTTCTTTTGTTCACCGTGAAACGGTAAGAAATTTCTGGCCTGACTTTGGCGTGACTCGTTGCCTCCATCAGTATGAGGAAGAGTTTGAGAGTGATAATGAAGAGGTATCTAGAGAGCCCACAGCCGATTCGCTCAAATTGCCTGCCATTGACCAAAACAAGGGTGTGGTGCAAGCCTCTGCTAGTCCAACTAGATCGTCCAGGGCCGCTTCAAAGACTCCAATCGCAGTATCAGTCACGCCTGTTACCAAATCAGTCACACCTGTTACCAAATCAGTCACACCGATTAGCAAAAAAGCAGCATCCCCCAAACCAGATACTCCTAAGAAATCTGCTACTCCCGCTGAAAAACCTGCTTCTCCTGTAAAGAAATCGGTTACACCTTCTGAAAAACCAGCTACACCAGCAAAGAAATCTGCTACTCCCGCTGAAAAACCGGCTTCACCAACCAAGAAATCTGCCACTCCTGCCGAAAAACCAGCCACGCCAGCCCAGAAATCTGCTACACCAGCTGAAAAACCAGCCACTCCTGCTGCAAAACCAGCTACTCCAGCCCAGAAACCGGCTACTCCTGCTGAAAAACCAGCTACCCCAGCCAAATCTGCCACTCCAGCTGAAAAATCAGCTACTCCTGCCCAGAAATCTGCCACACCTTCTGAAAAACCAGCTACCCCAGCCGAAAAATCGGCTACTCCTGCTGAAAAACCAGCAACGCCTGCCCAGAAATCTGTCACTCCTGCAGAAAAACCAGCTACACCAGCCGAAAAATCTGCTACTCCTGCTGCAAAACCAGCAACCCCAGCCAAATCTGCCACTCCAGCTGAAAAACCAGCTACTCCTGCCCAGAAATCTGCCACTCCTGCTGAAAAACCAGCAACACCAGCCGAAAAATCTGCTACTCCTGCTGCAAAACCAGCAACGCCTGCTCAAAAAGCTGCCACTCCTGCTGAAAAACCAGCTACTCCAGCCGAAAAATCGGCTACTCCTGCTGCAAAACCAGCAACACCTGCTGAAAAACCTGCTGAAAAACCAGCAACCCCAGCCCAGAAATCTGCCACTCCTGCTGCAAAACCAGCTACTCCTGCTGCAAAACCTGCTACTCCTGCTGAAAAACCACCTACTCCTGCTGCAAAACCTGCTGAAAAACCAGCTACTCCTGCAGCAAAACCTGCTGAGAAGCCAGCCACTCCTGCTGCAAAATCAGCTACTCCTGCAGCAAAACCTGCTGAAAAACCAGCCACTCCTGCTGCAAAACCAGCTACTCCTGCAGCAAAACCTGCTGAGAAACCAGTCACTCCTGCTGCAAAACCTGCTGAAAAACCAGCTACTCCTTCAGCAAAACCTGCTGAGAAGCCAGCCACTCCTGCTGCAAAACCAGCTACTCCTACTGCAAAACCTGCCGAAAAACCAGCTACTCCTGCTGCGAAACCAGCTACTCCTGCTGCGAAACCAGCTACTCCTGCAGCAAAACTTGCTGAAAAACCAGTCACTCCTGCTGCAAAACCATCTACTCCTGCTGCAAAACCAGCTACTCCTGCAGCAAAACCTGTTGAAAAACCAGCCACTCCTGCTGCAAAACCAGCCACTCCTGCTGCAAAACCAGCTACTCCTGCAGCAAAACCTGTTGAAAAACCAGCCACTCCTGCTGCAAAACCAGCTACTCCTGCAGCAAAACCTGCTGAAAAACCAGCCACTCCTGCTGCGAAACCAGCTACTCCTGCAGCAAAACCTGTTGAAAAACCAGCCACTCCTGCTGCGAAACCATCTACTCCTGCAGCAAAACCAGCTGAAAAACCAGCCACTCCTGCTGCGAAACCAGCCACTCCTGCTGCAAAACCAGCTACTCCTGCAGCAAAACCTGCTGAAAAACCAGCCACTCCTGCTGCAAAACCAGCTACTCCTGCAGCAAAACCTGCTGAAAAACCAGTCACTCCTGCTGCAAAACCATCTACTCCTGCAGCAAAACCTGCTGAAAAACCAGCCACTCCAGCTGCAAAATCAGCTACTCCTGCTGCAAAACCATCTACTCCTGCAGCAAAACCTGCTGAAAAACCAGCCACTCCTGCAGCAAAACCTGCTGAAAAACCAGCCACTCCTGCTGCAAAACCATCTACTCCTGCAGCAAAACCAGCTGAAAAACCAGCCACTCCTGCTACGAAACCAGCTACTCCTGCAGCAAAACCTGCTGAAAAACCAGCCACTCCTGCTGCGAAACCAGCCACTCCTGCTGCAAAACCAGCTACTCCTGCAGCAAAACCTGCTGAAAAACCAGCCACTCCTGCTGCAAAACCAGCTACTCCTGCAGCAAAACCTGCTGAAAAACCAGCCACTCCTGCTGCGAAACCAGCTACTCCTGCAGCAAAACCTGCTGAAAAACCAGCCACTCCTGCTGCGAAACCAGCCACTCCTGCTGCAAAACCAGCTACTCCTGCAGCAAAACCTGCTGAAAAACCAGCCACTCCTGCTGCAAAACCAGCTACTCCTGCAGCAAAACCTGCTGAAAAACCAGCCACTCCTGCTGCAAAACCAGTAACTCCAGCCCAGAAATCTGCCACTCCTGCTGCAAAACCAGCCACTCCTGCTGAGAAACCAGCTACTCCAGCCCAGAAATCTGCCACTCCAGCCGCAAAACCAGCTACACCCGCAAAGAAAGCAGCTACTCCTGTCGAAAAAGTGCTCACTCCCAAACCACCCTCCTCACCAAAGCCAAAAAAGGAGGCAAGTTTTATTGTGGATCTCCAGACGTGTTTGTGAGGCATCTAGTTTTCGTAAGTGTAGCTCCATTACCCTCGCGTGATGCCACACTACCTTAGCCGTGAAGTCGCACTCCCTAAGCCGTGATGTCACATTCTCAAGCAGTGACGTCACAACATTAAACCGTGAAGGTGCTTTGTGCACTGTATAAGCTTTAACACGCCCCCATTCTTTTAATGTAACCTTTAACCTTATCATAAAAACCAAGCTCTTTCATCTCTTCCCAAGGTGGGCAATATAGCTCCCAAGTTGTAAAATTGTATTTAGATTTGTCTTATTTATTGTGCAGATTGGTCAACTGTACATGTAGTTGTATGGCACTAGGACGGTTAATGTAGTTTCATAATAGAAGGTGCTGAATGTTTTTTTTTGTGTTGGTAATGGTATAAGAACTGGACTTGTAGGGTTTGTTAGGTTATTCGTACCGCTGTATATTAATATATCAGTGTCTGTAATGTAGCTGTACAAAAACAACCATCATATTATTATGATTCAAAACTCTCCATTACCAGAGGCCGAGGGTATATTTCCTAAATTTGAACTTCGATCTAAACTTTGTAAGTAACATATTAAAGAGCTGCTTACTGTATAACTTATCGTTTTAACTTTAAAACGGTTTTAGAAACGCTGCCGTTTTTTAAGTTCCTATTGGTTTGCGGACTTACATTTGACAATCATTAACGATTAATTAAAGTGCGCGTTTTGCAGTTTTATACTGCCAGTGCAGTGGGTTAAGTCACTGAAGTGTTTGTTGGTTGAAAATGAGTGTGGACTGCGGATGTCCCACCTGCGATTGAAACAGCAGTTAGACTGAGAGAGGATGAAGATAGTATGTAAAGAGTATCTGGAAAATATTTAAAGAGCATATTTTATATTTAGAGAGCATTTATAGTTTGGGGTTCTATTATTTTTCTGGCCCTAATAGTAATATAGTGTCGTGTCGTGTCGTGTCGTGTCGTGTCGTGTCGTGTCGTGTCGTGTCGTGTCGTGTCGTGTCGTGTCGTGTCGTGTCGTGTCGTGTCGTGTCGTGTCGTAGGATAATTTAAATTGGTTTGAAATAATATTATTAACATTATTCAATAACCAGGATAAAAGTAAACCAGCAACTCCTGTGAAGCCTGCAACACCTGCAAAGGCTGCAACACCCGCGAAGCCTGCAACACCTGCAAAGGCTGAAACACCATCGAAGCCTGCAACACCTGCGAAGGCTGAAACACCAGCAAAACCTGCAACACCCGCGCAGCCTGCAACACCTGCAAAGGCTGCAACACCCGCGAAACCTGCAACACCTGCGAAGGCTGAAACACCATCGAAGCCTGCAACACCCGCGAAGACTGAAACACCAGCGAAGCCTGCAACACCTGCGAAGGCTGAAACACCAGCGAAGCCTGCAACACCCGCGAAACCTGCAACACCAGCGAAACCTGCAACACCCGCAAAGGCTGAAACACCATCGAAGCCTGCAACACCTGCGAAGGCTGAAACACCAGCAAAACCTGCAACACCCGCGAAGCCTGCAACACCAACAAAAGCTGAAACACCAGCGAAGCCGGCAACACCTGCGAAGCCTGCAGAACCAACGATATCAGAAAAGTGAAGGGTAGCTCGATAAAAAGAAATAAGAGACTTTTAGTTTTATCTTAAGCCGACCAAGTAGAAAGCTCAGAATCATAAAAATATATCCTGCCAATGTTTTAGTTGATTATTTTTGTTAATTTTTCAATCCTTGACGAGCCTCCTTTTCAAAGATTCACACCAAGAGATCCAAATTTGTTATAATAATAGCAAATGGTATATGGCAGATACGGATACTGATAGTCAGTACATAGTTACACAGATATAACATACTGATACTTTTTCTTTTCAGTGAAGATTGAAGACACAAATATGTAAGAAATTAATTCTGTTTCCGAAAGTTTTAATGTAAAGATTTCTGCTTATTTTAAAGTGCGATTACTTTGTAGTTATTGGCCCTCATCTTTCCGGCCTTTTATTGTATATTAGGCCGGTCCTAAGTATGGCCACAATTCGCATTTTTTGAAAATTTCTCGTTTCATTTCTTAAAAAAAGTCTACCAAATGATGAAAATTGAGAAGAAAGTTGAAAAAAACACGTTATGTAAGAATCAGCCTTTTTTAACAATTTGTTTATGATCTTGCGATTCGTCTTCAACCAAAGAACCAACTCATCCTTGTCAAGCATTCAAAAATGACATGGAGGATCGACATGAGCTCAGTTATCGGGACATTTGCACTGCTTTACAATTTGTAAGTAAACCAGTTAAACGTTGTTAATTAGCGTGAGCCTATCGTTTCTATGGATTGGGCGACATCTGTCCGACAGCGACATCTGTCCGACTCAGAAAATAGGTTATTCGGACAATAGTTTATATCGGATCCTACCGTACGATTTTCTTGAAACTTTCCATAAAGTATGGTGGTTATTGGATGGATAATATTAATAATAAAGTAAGTTTGGGTGAATTTCTATGTGCCAAATTTGAGATATCATTTCAAACACAAGAAAATAGTGCTGTCGGACAGATGTCGCTGTCGGACAGATGTTGTGTTACCGTTTCGATGCCCATATAGCCGATAATGTTAATTTACCACCATAGGAAGCGCAAAAATCGGGACTTTAAAAATGTACACACGTGTGTTTGTTGCCTACAACATAATGAAAAGTAATATTAATAACAACATAATGATATACCTTCTCAAAACTTCAATGTATCATGGTTCATCCCAATACAAGTAAATAAAATTCAGAAAATTGTCAAACGTGAAACATCGTTATTCATCATAATAAACAATTCGCTTGTACTTTCAACAGAGAATTTATAAGGTGCTAATGTGATCACCTCGCTGAAAACCATTTAGTTCTTACTTCGGCGGATTATTTGGTTTTTTTACGTAAAATTCTTTCGAATTTAAGACAGGTTCAGGCCGTGTTAATACAGTTTACACGCGCATCTTTTTAATGGTCTGACTATCAGGTGAGCTCCGACTAGACTTGCTTGCTTTTCTTTCATCCAGAAACTTCTGAAATTACTGATAATTCACTTAACTGCCACTGTGTAATAGTTTTTATAACCTAGACCATTAAACGTGTTGTCAAGCTCCAACAAGTATCGCCACGCACCACATACACCTCAGGTAGCAGTAGGATAACATGATGAATCAATTCATTTTCAGGCCCCATTGCGGTTTTATAAATAATGTTTTAAATAGATTAAATTTGTAACCTTTATTCGGCTGTACTTTCTACGTAGTTGAGCTGGTGTCCTAGAAGAATGAAATTGAAACCGAGCAATGATGAGAGACCAAGATCTACCGTAGAGTTGAACACCGAGGCAGAGATTTGCTACTTCTTGTTCTGTGAATGGTACTGCCTGAGGATGATTCAATGTTTTGTTTGAAATTCGAAAATCTTTAGATTTTTAAATTTCTGCTCACCAAAACAACTTACATATGGAAAATAAATCAAAATATCCAAAAGCGACTTTTCTAAACTCTTTAGACAATTATCGATTTATATCTACTACCAAAACAATGTTATGCTCATATCATACGTCTGCGAATTGTATTTCTTATAATATAATAAACATTGCCCAATATCCAGATATAATGATATAAATTTCCTTTATTCTTTTATTCCCGTCCCAGTGCTACATTCTATCTAGTTTAATTTCGTTGTGATACGCTTTTAATTTTGTCAGCTTTCTGTTTCACAGTTTCTACAGTCTAACTGTTGTGCAGTGTGTACTCATATCAATTTTGTGTATACTGTATACAACAAACATACGTGACACTTTATGAACAACACTATTATTAACCACCTTATTTGAGCGTACATTACGAGGACGGTCATAATTATCGGCGCAACACAATAATATTAATACAGTTGACCTAAGTTGACTGTTGACTGTTTTTTCACCATATTGGAGTTTATATTTTGATGATAGTTGGTGACGAAGTGAGAGTCTCCACTCACTGTTTCAAAACAAATTAGTTGTCGACGTTTCGGCAACATGCCTTTGTCATGGACAGTTGGAGTTTAGTTTGGACTTTAATTCGAGTGGACATTAAATGGACGGACATAACGTGAATGGACGTAATTATAGGCGCTTAGCCCTACAGAGAAAATACGAGGAATTATGGAGGGATTAGGGAATACACCAAAAATATGATTACTGAACCCTTTCTACACCACAATTACAAGTAAGCAAGTACAAAGTCAAGGATAACGAAGACTGCGCTACAACCGAGTTTGCTTTAACTGCGAAACAGCTAGAAAGTCAAGTACGTGGGTGGATTTTTGCACCCGACATTGGCAAATATTCCCCTCAGACTGACGTGTTGACAGATTTACATACGGCTACATTCATATATCGCTCACTTTCAGAAATATCATGGTCGAATACACCACGTACATTAGTGAATATTTTCAGTTGAGTTTTGTTTTTTATGCCGGATGTATTTCTGAGGCTATTACTCAATTAGTTTTAGCTATTCCCATTTTCCATAATATATAGATAGCCTTACTCCATCTCCATATAATTTGAACTTATATTACAACGCTACAAAGCCCGCATCGCTTTTGCTTGAAGAAACTTTGATTTTTTATATGATAAATTCAAATTTTTCCACTTTGCTTATCACTAATTTTCACCCTTCAGCTCTAGGACCTATTTCAACAGCCAGCAGTTATGGGCATCTCCGAAAACTGGTCATCATTCGTCAACATGACAAAAGCCAAAGCTGACTCGCACGGCAAAGTGGCACAATATTGGGACAGCACCCATAACATTATGAGTCTATCTTTGATCGTGCTTTCTGCGATGACGACCCTCTCAACCCTTCTTCCTATCACCCATTACATACCAGCCACTTTGGGAGCCATCACTACTTTATTATCTGCAGTAGCTGGGTCTATGTCTCCTAGCACCCGGAGGCAACAGCAGATGGAGTCAAGCAAGGGTTTTAGATCACTGATGTTGAAGATGGTCAGGGTTGAAACAGAGAGAGAATACGAGGAACTATGGAAGGAATACAACAAGGAATTACTCGGAGAACCTTTCTTGCCTGCCAAGTATAGGGTGAAAGAGGGCACCAACTTCACCATGACACCCGAGTTTACTATAATCGTGAAGCAGAAAGAAAATGAGGTCGAGGAGATGATTGAGGAGCTAGAGGGTTCAGAAGCTGGTGATGAGGTAAATCCTGATGAGGTAAAACCTGATGAGGTAAAACCTGATGAGGTAAAACCTGTCCTGCCTGAACCTCAAAATGAAGCACCCCAGGAGGCTGATAAAAAACCCGGGAACAGTGAAGAAGTAGGAGACGATGTAAAGTTGCTGCATCAAGTTTAGCTGTATAACTATAAGGCAGGACGAAGACGATTGGAGACAATTTCAAACAAATTTTTAATCTTTGGTTTGTAATTTTATCCTAGGAATTAAGTATGGGTTTATTTATTTATTGATTTTTTCCCTATGGGTATAAATCAAGAGGCTTGCATATAATGAACATATTGACATGGGTGCAGAGTTGAGTCTGTACGGAACCTAGTAGTTTCAGTTCCTTGTTTAACTTGCCGTACAGCAAGGACATCCACTACTTTAGCCCGGCTACCAAAATGGTGAAATTTTCACATTTTGGTATTTTGCTTTTCATCATAATCGGGATCCAAAGGTAAAAATCCTATAAAATGTGCCTATACTGAATTTATTTTCGAAGTTGCGAAGTATCTATAAGGTACAAATACAAACTACAGCACATTCTGCACACATGATAGAGCAGCAAGCTAGTTAATAATCCTGTAATTATGCCGTATGCGTATATATCCTACTAATTATGCGTATAAATTTGCGTATGCAGTATGAAGCACAGCACGACGTGCTGTGTGCAGTAGTGTGTACACTCGTGGGACACATTAATTACGTATAGACGATACATTTAAATTATTTGCAAGTTTTACCTTCCAATATGGAGTTGTAAACTCAATCAGTCTCCAAGAAAGTCTGAATTAATTTGTAATCCAAAACAATCTTATAATAGGCAATAGCTCGCAGAGGTAGTCAACAATTTAATCTTTATAAGCATGCGTTCTAACTCTGCGCGCGTGAATTTTATGCTATAGTAAATGTCTTACAGGATATTTTCTATAACAATGAAGTACCGCGCCTTACGTTTCCAGTATAAATCTGTAAACTTGTGACATTTGTGACAAGACGAGAGCGGCTTTTCTTATAGCCTATTTTTAACTGAGGTCTGAGACTTCAGTTGATTACTTATTATGTAATTATGATAGCACTGGACTCATTTCTTATTCAACACTTACTGAATGTTGATCCTGATCATCTGCGTATCCATCTAAGTTTTCACCAAGTCTGCAATTTGATTTATCACTGAGAAGTAATATTATAATTATTCTTTTGAGGACTGATTATTAATGAATTAAACGTGCCTACTATTATACAACTTGCTTTGTACGCAACCGATGTTAAATGCATAACACAGATTAGTTTTGTTAAAATACACGGTCAAAATGCAGGTCCTGGTGTTAATCGAGGATTTACCTACATTTTACCCTATTGTCTTTGCCGAAAGGGCAATCGATGAGAAATTAATTTACCTATGCATCTTCATAAATCTTTGAGAAAGGTTTTCTTTTGGACCGTCCGATGAAATGGGCATGGATGAATTACCAGGTATTGATATTTTACTAGAATGTCCAAATCCTGAATCTCCGTCTGATCTTCTGGCCATTTTAAAGTTGCGAGACGTTACATTGTCATGCGACGTTACATTGTCATTCGACGTTGAATTGTCATATTGGGAAATCGAATCATCTATTTCAATAAATCTGCTATTTCTACACGATGGCACCAACAGAGGGTTCAAGTCGAAGAAGTCATTAAATAAAGTGACCTGACTGATATCAGTGATAACACTCATCTCATCAACATCACGACTAAATCTTCTCCCTGACTCCAACTTTAACGTTGTTAGGGCCGAATCAGACCTTTTCTGAGTAGATAATTCATGAACAGATTCATTTACGATTCTATCAGTACTTTTGTCAACTCCAGATGTTTGGTGACATGTTTTATTAACGTGAGGATTATCAGTTGGCGTTATTGGTACAATGGAAGCAGAACAGGACGCGATGGAACCTGCAGCTGTGGTTGATATGACTTGTTCGAATCGTTGTAGGAACTCGCTCATCTTGTCTTCAACTGTCCGTGATACTATGGAGGCTATGATTGTGGGTTGTGTTGTGAGTTGTTGCTCCCTGTTGTGTGTTGTGAGTTGTCGCTTCCCGTGGGGGGATACAGGGCCAAACTCTCTTTCTACTCCCGGGGCAGGGGTGGGCTGGGGTGTTATTGGACTGTAGCTTTTAGCTCTCTTCTGAAATAGGCATTGTAGAACATTAATATGATTATCAATTTTGTAAAGTATGGTCGAAACAGTTATAATGATTAGCCACTTCATGTAGTATCCGAACCCAAATTCTCATTCCGTACTATCTTTTTACAAAGGGTAGGGAAAAAGATATACTCACCCCTGACATGCTCCCAGGTTCAGATCTTCTAGGCGTTTCTCTGATAGACCTTTTGTAGCACCTCTTTCTTTCAGTTCCTCTCTCGTATGTAGGTACAGCCCAACTTCCGCTGCTTTTCACTACGACAGTCCGCTTCTTCAGGTCTTTTATCTGCTGCTTTCTTTGCACGCCCACCTTGTTTGATTTGACATTTGAACCCTCACTCTTATTTCCATACTGTTTTGTTATTTCATGGCTGGCGGACTCAAGGTCGCTATCAGACCCTTCACTCTTTTCGCCTGAAATAAATACAATAGTATTAAGTTCGTTCGAATGTGACCCTTCACTTTTTTCACCTGAAATACAATACAATAATATTAAGTTCGTTCAAAGGTTCATTTGAACAAAAAATGTATTCATTTTGCTGTGGTTGTTAAGTAGAAAATGTGTCTTTTACCTGTAGAAGTTGTGAACATTGACTGAAGAAGTAGTTTCGCAGTTTTTCTAGTGTTTTCATCACAGTTCTCCATACATCTAATGATACTTGACATACCATTTCTATCTGCTACGAGTGCCGCTCTGTGAACCGTTCAAAGTTAATCTATTATTAGAATAACTTTGTTATCTAATGTAAAATTTGTAAATATCTTGTATCACTAAATATACAAGCACTATAAAGAGGGTAAAGAATACTTAATCCTTAATCCTGCATCGAAAAGAACGACATACCTAGCCTCTTTATTGTTATCAATAGCTGTGCTTAATGCTTGAAGCCCATTAGGTATCTGTTCATTAGTTCCCTTAGAGATCCAGTGCAATAGGAGGGGCACACACGAAACTTGGATATCTGGAGAAAGCAAGATCCCTGAAAATGCATGCACTAGAGTTTTTCAACTGGACCATTTTAAGCTTTGAAAATAAAACAAGTTACAGCAGCCAGTGCACAAGTGAGTGGAGAGCTAAGAACCAGGAAGGACAGGCTACCGAGATGATAAACCGGTCACCATGATTCATTCATTCCATTTATTTGCTAAATAAGTTATTATAATTACTTATTTATTAAATAAGTCATGGTATAAATAACCTTTTGGTGCTGAGTTGATTAAAGAGATGACGCACCAAGCGGTTCTGTTATCTTGACATCCTTTTAACATATCAAGACAGATTTTAAGACCTCCTATCTTGAAAAATTTTTCCTGGTTTGATCCTGCAATATTTTTAGATAATAATCATTTTAAAGGGGCAGGAGGGGGGTCTTTATGAAATTTCTCTCGAAATTGATTTTATAGTTGTTTCTGATAGAGGGGAGTGATATCTATCTGCTGCTTTTGGTCCCATGGAAACATATTGTTCCTAGCCGAATTTATTGCTGGTCAAAGGTCAGCGTTCATGTGTAATTGTATTGCGCGAGCGATTTTCAATCGCGCGCCTTGAAAATCGAGTCTAAAATTCTATCTTCTCCTACATTTTTTGAGCAATCACCTTGAAACTTTAAGGATATGTTCTAAGGACCATTTAGAAGATTCCATTCGATCAGAATTTTAAGATAGGCCTGAGAAAATTTTGTATTCGATTTTGAAAATCTTGGACCTGAAAAAATCGTCCAAAAAAGAGGTCGATTTTCAGGGCGCACGATTAACCGCAATACAATTACACATGAGCGCTGACCTTTGACACCGGCGATAACTTCGGCTAGGAATAATATTTTTCCATGAGACCAAAAGCAGCTGATAGATATCACTCCCTTCTCTATCAGAATGAACTATAAAATCAATTTCGAGAGAAATTTCATAAAGACCCCCCCTGCCCCCTTAATATCGCACATCTTGAAAGCACTGTGAAAAATATTGGGAACTATCATTATCGGTGACAGTAATTTTAATTTTTTTAATTGGTCGACTTAAAATTAGGACACAAAATGTTTGCAATTCTACGCCTAAACTTACCGTTGTCTGAAAGACAGAGTCTCAAGAAATTAGAGATTGAAATCACCAGATCTTTAGCATGAGAATTCTTTAGTAGGATATAAAGACAAAATGGTATCACTTCCATACAAGCTTCTTGATTTAATGCTGAAAATAAGTTTCGCTTGCGTTAACTGGTAGTTTATAGTATAATACATCTTCAATCCTCATGAGAGATGTTACTGGAGGACGAAGTGTAACATTTCGATATTATACAATTACTAGTTAAGAAAACTAATTTCTAGGGGTTTTTTGCTGATTAAAGACAAGAAAAATTAACAGGGATGTTCATTGTTCAAACTTTAAACTGTACATTGCCCCTTTTCGAACTCATCTACTACTTTTTTTAAACACTCACAGTTCCGAGGATTGTTGACTAAAGAGGAAAGACATGTCAGACAGGAATTCCACACGGGAACATTTTCTTGGGTAACTGGACTGGAATTTCTGGTAGAGAGAAAGCAGTTTATTTAAGTTATCTTAGCTATTTAACCATCGAACATTCCCAGTGGACTGCAACGGCCCAACGGGAAAAGTGAATGTTCGATTTTCAAATAAACCCTTATTCACTACTTAAAACTTAGCATCAATCAAAGCAAATCAATGGTTCCAAATCGTTGTATAAGAAGCAAACCTAAGGCATGAGACGAGATGTTTGATAATTCCCTTCTGTCTGGACTGGTTTTGTCCAAGGGAATTACCCTGGCTGAGAAAACTCAGCAAACAAACAGATGACTGAAACAGCGGGGATAGGGGACCTTTCTTTAGATGACTAGAAAGCAGACTAATTATCCCTTTATGAATCAAAACGTTTTGAGATGAAACTGAAATGAAATCATCAGACTGTGTATTGATAGATAAAAGATTTACCCTTGCTTTTTATTAATTATATAAGCACAATAACAACATATCTTATCGAATAAAACGATAACTTACATAATACATATTTGAATTATGTTATAATCAAGTAAGGCAGATTTGATATGTATTATTGATATTTCAAAGATTCATTATAGAATTGACACGAGTATTCAAGTCTCTAATATACTTGCCACAAGAATCTACTGCGCAGCTAAGGGTGTACATGGTGGTTTGCTGGAACGAAACCTCTTCCTCAGTCAAAAGTAGCTTTGTTAGCGAGAGCAATCCTTTATCTTCCCGAAATGCTGCTTTTAAATCACCTTGTAAGTTAACAATGTCTCTGTTAAACAGTAATCATACAGTACGCATAAATTCTGCTCACGCAAAAAAGGGACGAATTTTACCATACTCGGCCGTGAAATCCTAAATGTATGTCATCATTTTAAACATTTTGTTTTAAATTTCGATAAATAATTTCGAAAATGAAAATTCCTATCGATCCCTGCATTATTAATCACCATTGGTAGAGAGTAGATCCGCTAATGCACATAGAGATTGTCTTTGTGACTCTTTGCTGGTTGGCCTTAGAATGCAATCAAGATAAAGCTTCAAATCTGACTCCATTGAAGCATTCATTCAAGTGGATCCAAGAATAATCTTTTGGTTTTTCGGATATTTATCATTGTAATTGACATGCCCCTGTGAAAAAACTGAAAAGTGCTTCCAATATATTAAACCATATCCCATGTTATTGATTATAGAGAACATGATTTTTTATAGATCACTTGCACAAATGAGTTTTTGCAAGGTTATTGACCAATTCTTTTAAGCAAAAGAAACAAGGTAATCAATTAACTTAACTATCTTTTGTTGATTATTTTAAGTCTGTCTACTGTTAAATTTTACTGCAAATTTAGAATTACAAACAAGAATTTTAATATCATTATCTTTACTTTGATACTAAAACACATCACACTTAGTAGTATCGTTTTTGTCATTTAAACAGCAGTCCCAAAAGAAAATATGTCTCTTTCCGTCATCTTGATGTTCTCTGTTAAAATCATGTTTTTCGTAAGGAATTGCACATTCCAGAGAACTACATCTCCATTTTCCATGGTGGATGACCTTCCCCAAGGAGTCATGAACTTCATCATCTTCATTCAACATAATGAGTTGGTGCTTCATAGCAGACATTGATGCAGCAAGGCGGTCCTCCTCTCTCTGATCATGCCAATTATAAACACGATCTTCCAAAGAACTGTCTTCAGTAGGGACTTCAGTATCGTCCTTAAATAATCGACACATTAGGTTTAGCTCTTCCTTTTGGTAAGATTTAAAATCTCTTAAAACATTATCACAGTCATGTATGTCTATTTCATGAGCATGTAAGAGCGAACGACAGCTTCCATTGCAGCGAGTTTGACGCTTTGGACACTCTACTTTGTAATGCCATTCCCAGTCCTTCAGAAGACAAATTTGATTACACCCTGCATTTATACATGGGGAAGGTTGATAAGGGCAGCTATCAACATGATTATTTATGGTGTCAACAGAGCTATAGACTGAACATCCTGAGACAGCAAATTCACACACAATTGTGTTCAGAGCATATGTGGCATTTCGCAGGGTATCATTTCTAGTAATAGCTTTTACAACTTGTGGAATTTGACAGGAGAGGCAAATGATTGTTCTGCAGGCCTTTCTGTCACCAACTAAACATTTGAAACAGTAATATTTCGTTGGACAGCATAAAATGTACACAGGGTCACATGAAACCAAGTCACAAAGCAAACATAGCATTTCATTAGTTACTCCAGAAGCAAACCTTTCCTTTGGTAGGCATTGCCCAACCAAATCTAATGATCCAATCAGACTGATATTGGTAGTGCTGGCATTAATTGATCCATAACTCATTCTACTAAGAGATCTCATCGCTGAGGGAAATTATACAAATTAAATAATGTATATTATTGGACAGGGTGACACAAAAAATACGACCAAGCGACTTTTACTGATAACTCGGCTCAGCTTTAACTGAATTACTTGAAACTATGAAAGTCATTACTATATACATGCTCTGATGCTCTAGCCATATTCCTCATCACTCATGTGATATATTCACATAAAAATCCGTGTATTGCCAAGAGAAAGGGAATAAATGTCTCCTGAATTTTTAAAATTTACAGTTTTATTTATTCATTATGTTCCTCCTGTTTCAAATTATAGTAAAACGGAAAGTTTTAGTTTTAGTTACTGCGATCCCTCCGTTTGGAATCAGCTTCCTTTGTCCTTATAAATTGAAAACATCGACCAATATTGTCTTGTTTAAAAAAAGACTAAAAACTCATTTCTTTGAAAAACGTATTCATATACAATATTATAGTAGGGTGAGAATCCCTGCCACGTTTTTGGTCAGTTTCGCCGGGGCTCATGTCTTTCCTCGAGGGAGCATTAGTGTCTACAGAAAAACTGACAAATCCTAGCGAAGTCCAATCCGAACCACATCTTCCATTAGAGGTGGTGCTGGGTCAGCTGGTTACTGAACGGATTGGCCTGGAGAATGGCACAGTCCTGTTACTCTCAAGTTAACCATAGAGGGGGACAGGCGCTGTTCGCTCACGGCTGGTTCTTGGAGCCAACACCCTCAGCCCCACAGAAGTGGGAGCACTGTCGGTGGTGGCTCACCCAGATAACGGACAGTGTCTCTCCTTTTTTCTTCTTGGACTTGCATTGTTGCTGGCGAGTCAGCCAGTAGCAATGCAGCATCTCACTCACTCAATCACCTTAGCAGTTCGGTCCCTTTTCTGTTTGATTACTAGTCTCACCTGGTTCTTGACCTGTCGCCCTCAGACCTACAGAGGTGGGTGCACTGTCGGTGGCCTGTCACCCAGGTTGTCGGTGATATCTCTCCCTCTGCCTCCCCTTTGGACATGCATTGTTGCTGGTGAGTCAGCTGGCAGCAGTGTACCATACTATTGCGTGTTTACTAATCCCCTCTTAGCTTCCAGGCTAAACTAAAATTATAAACTAACAGAAGCAGGATAGAAGCAAGAAATCATCAGTAGCCCCTCAACTTAACGAAGACTGATATCAACCGCTCTGGTACAAGCAACTCTGATAAAGTACGACTCTGCTGCTTCTCTGGGAAGTCAGCACCAACAGAAATGGGGACACTCTCTGATATGAGTGCTGGAATTCTCAGCCGTTTTACTCTACAGGCTAAGTTTCTTGTTATAATTCTATTGCTCTGTTCTTTCATTTGTATTCTGTCTCACTCTACTGCATATTGTAGATCGTCAGCATTCATAGAACCAGGGTCTCAGTTACAGTCCTTCTGTTTGTTGACTAGACACACTTTTTGCATCATCTTTCGGTTTTTGACGGCGTTTAGAACACATCTTGTTTTCTCGATCGTTACTTGCCTCCGTATTGGCTGCTAAACTATAATTATAAACTAACATTCGTTCCACCCCCTTGTGTGTATACTAACACCCCTAGATTCCCAGGAACAGGCTTAAATATCTACGGAAATCAAAGCCAAACAGACAGACAGCTACTCAGCCACAATGCAGGACAACAGATACTGCTCTGAACCAAGGATAAGTCTGATGGATACAGCTCATGTCTCCCTAGACATTCGCACAGATTACAAGAATGCCAACATCAGACATCACGTCTCTTATTAAGACAAAGCTCAACTCTCTATCCAAGTTCCTGAAATCAGAGTTGTCTAACTGAGATTTGCAGTCAGACATGCATTATACCCCCCTCGACCAACCCATCTACTAATCCGTGTCTACAGGCAAGAAATTGATCTCGTCATTTGTAATATAACATGAAATATTATATACCTATTGAAATTCTCATCCTCCACATCATACAAAAGAGAACGGCCCATGGCCATACACCACATATCAAAGAGAAAGGCCTCCGGCCAGACATATCAGACCTAACATGATCTATTTCCCTTAAAAGCCCATGTTTATATAAAGTTTTAGCGTGTAAAATTGATTCACTTTACTTACTTGTTTATAAATTTTACCTCGAACCATGCTTTCACAGAATTAAAATATTACCACACGACAGGGCGACAGTTTTCCAAAACTGGTTACATTCTTCCCTCAAGGCGCAGCTCCTACACCTGGTAAATTCCACTCTAATAGCACAACCTCTCAAACAGACTCACCGAAGTAATCTTCAGCCATCAAATGCACCGCTGTCAAACCTGATCATGTTACAAGGCATGACTTTTCTGCCACTACTTCATCATTATAGATTAGTGATTACTTAGTGTGTAGATGAAACGATATGAGTGTAGCACACACTGGCTTATCAATGAATGATTGATTCATCCAATCAGCGTTATCTTGGTTCGAATTGAGATTGCTATATTAAATTTTTCCTATATTTTACGTAACGTGCGAACGCCATTTGAGCACAGTATGTGTTAATGATCTCGCTGTCAATCCTTTAATACGTTTTGCGCGCTAGCTACTCTGGTAGCGCGCATGGCGGGTAATTTTATTATCTATTGTTTCAACTTTTTATTCAGTTTTATTCATTTAAACGATGGTATTCATTTAAACGATGTTATTCATTTAAACGATGTTAATCATTTGAAACGACTTTACTAGAATTTGTCAACGAAGAAGAACTCTAAATTGTTACCACAGCAACCATTCAATGTTGCCATAGAAACTACACACTCTTAACATAGCAACCACACACGTTTACCGTAGCAACTCCAAATCACTACCTAGCAACTAAACACTGCTACCAGTAACTACGTACTGATACTATAGCAACTACACACTGTTACCATAGCAACTACACACTGTTACCATGGCTACTACACACTGTTACCATAGCAACTACACACTGTTACCATAGCAACTACACACTGTTACCATAGTAACCACACACCGTTACCAGGAACGAGAGCGAGGGTCGACAAGGGGCTATTGCGATGCAATCTGGACAAGAGTCCAGGCTGGCTCCCTTAGTTCCAACCTCTCGGTACTGGAAACGATACATTTTCTAATCCTCATCACCCATCTCCAAGTTGCAGTCATACAATAAAATTACAATCTCATCGTACTCACATCTTGAGTTAAGCGCAAAGCGTCACTGTGGGACCTTCGCGATGCGAACCAGACACATAGTCTGGACTGGTACCTCAGACGCTAACGTGAAACTTACAGAGTATATAGGATATAACAACTTACTCGGGCGTAAGGAGTCGATACGGAGCTATTGCGATGCAATCCAGGCAAGTGTCTGGACTGGCTCCTAAAAACTCCAAACGCTCGGGCGAGCGGCATGGCAACTCTGATTCTTTACAAATAATTATCTGACCAAACATACAGTACGCAAAACGAACGCAGATTTCAATTCTTATATAGCGAAATAGCCGAAGTGCGCAGAGGCCGGGGAGAAGGGCTAGCTCCGGCGCGCGCGCCGGGATAGCACCCCAACACGGCAACGCGCAGCAGAGTAGTGGGGTCGGCCACACTACCGAATACACGAGAAGCCAACCCGGGATTTATTACCCGCGCGGCTATATTATTATGCGCAGTTGAAACCTGGGGGCTCGCCGACCAGGTTCACCGGGTGGAAACTCAAAACTGAAGACATATATGACCCCCATATCTGAAAGCAGGTTGGGGGCACTACGGAAAGCTTAGAAGCTCCCGTCACCTACTAACTACTAACTAAC